TCCCTTGACACACAAGAACCAAAATGCAATGTCTAATACCAGTGTAGTCTCAGAAGACCAAGATTTGAGAGAGACCTCAGAAGCCCTGTGGCACACACCTGGCCTATGCATGCCACCCACATGTAAACAGTACCAGCTGGCATCTTTCATTGCCAACAAAACTCATGATTCTTGAGCAATCAGTCAGTCATGGCATAGGAAGTTCATCCAAGGCCCAGCCCTTGAAATTCTGACCACTGTAGCTTCTGGCTTGGCATGATATATCCCACGCCAGGTTTTCCTGGATCTAAGGTCCCAAAGAGCACAGCTTCAGGCATACAACTAGAAAAGTTCAGAGGCCCTGAGAAGCCTTCTAGGTCCAGATTTTGTGGTCATCAGAATTTGGACAGTGAAACTCTGAGTTACATGTAAATAACAAGTTCAGAAGAACTACGGTCCGTCATGAAGGACTTTGTCTACACACTTCTGGCATTAGGGTGACCCCTGAAAGACCAGCAAAGCATTGTCAAAGGAAACCCAGATGCAGCATTGTCTGGTCTGGCAGCTAGAGAAAGATGGCTGGTGGAGGGGCATCCTAGCCTCCACAGGGACAACTGGACAGGTGTCACTCACATGAAGGCCACTAGCCAGGGCCTAATGGGAAAGATGAAGGAGAGTCAAGGCACACGTGATAGACGGTTGGAAGGTACTTGTGAAGAATGTTATTTTGACTTTTATTTCTAAGGGGCTAAGAAGTTGGTGGTTTAAAAGAAAAAACCAATTTTATCTATTACTGGCTCTACAGAAGCTAGTATTTGGTGGTTCACCAAAAAAGATAAAAATAACAATTTTGACATTGGTTCCCTTGATTGGTGTGCTGACTACAGGGCCAGGCTCACAGTGTTGTCTGGTCTTCACAGCTGCCCTGTGGGGCACGGGTGTTCTGTGGCTCTGAGAGAGCTTTGTGGACACCCTAAGAGATGAAAATAGTAAGGCCAGAAACTGGCAGTAATAGAACAAGAATCCAACCTTTTAGTTAAAAAAAACTCCATATATGGAAGTAATTCCCAAACCACAGAAAAGTGGCAAGAATAAAAAATGAGACAAAGAATACCCATCTCTCCATACACACACACACACACACACACACACACACACGTGCATATATGTGTGTATATTTTTCTTAGAATATTTCAAACAAATTTTATACATCACTCCCCTATACCTGTAAGTAGAGTAGTACACAGTTCCTGCGACTGAGATAACATTTTTCAGTAAACCCACCAACTTCAGGAAATTTAGCACAAATAAACTATCTGATCTAATGTGCTGTGCATAATCTAACTGTGTCAGCTTTCTCAGTAATGGCTTCCATAGCACATATTTCCTTGAAGAACTCAGGCTCTGCATTAGTAAGCAATTGAAGATGGCTTATTGGATATTAGGGAGATCAGCCCAAATCCTGGTAGGAACTTCTTTCTAGAGGTCTCCAAGAGACAGAGTGGATAGAGCTGTGTGCCCTGTGGATTAGACAGAGCCATGTGTTGGTCCTCAGTTGATTCCATGTCCATGGATTCTGCACACTGGCTATAGCCATATGTCAACTCCAAGCTAGCTCTGAATTTTGTTTTCCTCTGTCATTGGAGCAGGAAAGACATTGACCAATCTACCAACCTGAACATGGAAAAGACCAACACCTGGGCAAATAAGGTAAGCCTGGAGGGTCAGAAGATACATCAAAAATTATAGACCTAGCCAGCAGCACCAGCTCCAAGAAAAGCTCATGGCTGTAGTATACTACAAAAACAGCATTGAAAGGCTGGCCGAATAGCTCAGAGGATTAAAGCACCTGCAAGCAGGTGCAGGGGCTGGGGGTTCTATCCCTGGACCTGCTGCACTGGCCCCACCCCAAGGGCACACTGAGATGGCGATTGAGACTAGGCGAGGTGGCACGTGCCTATAATCCCAGCACTTGGGAGGCTGTAAACAGGCAGATCACTATGAGTCTGATCTAGTAGTGAGATCCTGAACACCCTGTAGACCCTTCTATAAAATACATCTAAAAAAAAAACAAAACAAAACAAAAACTGCACTGGGTTTTACTCCAAAATTGACTCCTCAACAGCACACTAGAGTTGGAGGGAAAAAAAAAAAACCAGTGTGGCCATATTGCCAAAGAGAGGTGCCATTTGGGGAAAGGGTTAGTTGCTTCAGACTGAGCCACAGAACATCTACAGAACAACTCTACTGCAGGGTTTCCAATAACTGGGTGATGGGGTGAGAGATAGCTATAGAAGACAGTCACAGAGGTGGCAAAGGCTACCTATCAACCTCAGAGAAGTTTAAGTTCAGGCCAAGAAGGGCCCCACTTTATACCATTAGAAGTAAGACCTAGTGAGTGTGTCCTTCAGATGTAGGGGGAGTGGGGAACCAGAAAACGACAAAACTTGAAAAATTAATCAGTGAAAAATGAGAAGGAAGAGAAAACAGGGAGACAAGGGATCCTTCAGAGGAGGATGGCTAGATCTGAAGGAGCTGGCCTTCCATGCAGCAGCCTGCTTGGATCACTCCCTGCTGCCGTACCCAGTGGAGACTAGCGCTCCGACTGCTTTCCTGTCTACCGCTGTGCGCGAGGACACGCCTCGGCTTGGACAGCTGCCACTGCCTGGGGTGAAGAGACAGAGGGGCTTCTGGATCAGTGGCAAAACGTCACAAAACCCCAGGCTATAAGGCTAGGTGGAGAAAATTGTGACTTGCTAGATTCCAAGACTGTGGATACTGGAAAGAAACCATTCATTAAAAACTACAGAGCATTTTGGAGGGAGAGGGCTTAACTTTTTTTTCTTTTTTCTTCATTGGCTTTTTAGGGGTTTGTGGGGCTTTTTTTTTTCACTTTTATCTGTTGTTTTTCTCCTTTTAACTTTTTTCTTCTTTTTCTTTTTTTTCCTTTATCTTTCCTTTGTAATCACACAGCCTGAGTTTTTTTCCTTCTTTTTCTTTATTTTTTTCTATTACTTGTGTCTAACACAATTGATTTCTTTTACTCCTCCATAGGCTCCCTTCTCTCCCTTTTCTCTCATCCTTCTTATTTTCCATTGATTAATTTTTCAAATTATGTCATTGTCTGGTTCCCCACTCCCTCTAACTTTACTAGTATAATAATTAAGTTTTATGAATTTTTCAATAGTTACTTAACTTTATGCTCTTACTGTTGAATACTGTTCTATTGCTAGTGGAGATAAAATAACTTTTAAAAATATTTATTTTATTTTGAAGAATAAAAAAAGCAAAGACAAATATTGCACTTAGTAGATATTTACTGTATATTTGATTTTTTTGTTGTTGTTGTTGGCACCAAGGATCAAAATCAGGACCTTGCAGTTTCCAGGCAGTGCTTATGCCACTGAGCCATCTCCCCGGCTGATTTGCACTGGTGTTTATACTGTAATTTTCAACTCTTTTCTATGGTAAGGTTGGAATATTATTGGTCCTGAGACAGCATCCATTTTGGCTATGACATTACTATTGCTATTATTGCTGATTTTATTGTTGTTGCTAAGATGACATAGTTGTTGCTATTAATACTGGCTCCCTTTGTCTGGCAGTACATGACTTGCCTTTGTGTTGTTACCCACACTGTGACCCCTTCCAGGAGGCCTGGGTGCTCCCTCCCAAAGCAGTAGAGGCGGTTGGATCTTGCAGTACAGTGGAAAGCCAATGTTTACCCATCTCAACGTATGCCACCAAAAAGCAGATACTGAGAGGTCACCAACCTGCAAACCTCAGACACACAGTCTCTCTGTCTCTGTCTCTGTCTCTCTGTCTCTGTCTCTCTCCCCCATCTGTCTCTGTGTGTCTATCTCTGTCTCTCTTTCTCTCTGTGTCTCTCTCCCTCTTTCTCTGTCTCTCTGTCTTTCTGTCTCTGTCTCTCTTTCTCTTTGTCTCTGTCTCTCTGTATCTTTCTGTCTCTGTCTCTGTCTCTCTGTCTCTGTCTGTCTCTGTCTCTCTGTCTTTGTCTCTCTTTCCCCTATGTCTGTCTCTGTCTCTCTATCTCTGTCTCTCTGTCTTTCTCTCTGTGTCTCTCTCCCCCTTTCTCTGTCTCTGTCTCTGTCTCTCTGTCTCTTTGTCTCTGTCTCTCTGTCTCTGTCTCTGTCACTTTGTCTCTATGTCTCTTTCTCTCTCTCCCCCATCTCTCTCTCTCTTTCTCTGTCTCTG